CACTGAGCTAACTCTCTATCTACAACAATGTAATAGTTGAAAAAAAAAATGTTGCCAGGCAACCAAATAGTCCCACCATCTTGAGCTGCCACTCTACAGAGGAGTTGTGAACTTCGAAGGGAAAATAGTGGCTTCTCCCTGGGGAGCTCTGTCTGGCAGACGCCACACGGTCAAGAGATGAGAGTGAGCATCGCCAGCCATGGAACGGAGCATCCGCTTGTGGCCGCTGACAACATGGACAGGGAAGAGCACACACCACCCACACAGCCTCGTGGAAAAAGTTAGCCTGAATCATGGTCTAGGAGACAATCACAAACCCCTGTTGGATGATGGAGACATGCAGCTTGAGTGTTGATACGTGGGAGAATTATCAGCATCACTGGGAACAAGCAGGCAGGGAGTACGTTCTAGAGTACAGACCGCAGAAACACCACACTGAGTTGTGAGTATACCCATGAACAGGAAAAGTGTTGTAAAGGACACTTGAAAAAAGCGTGACCATAAAAAAATGGTATCCCATAAAAAATGGTATCCTAGATGGCATCACAGCTATCAGATGTGATGATGGCTTGGGCTTCTGTTGGTCTTAGGGGAGCTGTAACTACTGGAGTGTCCTAACGACTGTGAATTTACAAATAAGTGAATGAATATGCAAACACACACATACACACACACACACACACACACACACACACACACACACACACGAGCATGTGGGGTGGGTGTGTGTCTGAATATTTATTTGTTTTGGTGTGTGTCTGTATGTACAGGTGTGTGGACACATGTGTGTGTGGGGACCAGAGGGGGAGATCAGCTATCTTCCTCTATCACTCTCTTCTGCCTGTTGTTTCAAGATAGGGTTTCTTGCCGAACCACAATCACCATTCAGCTAGGCTAGTTGGACAGTGAAACCCAGGATCCGCCTATCTCCCGCTCCTGCCCCCCCCCCCCACCAATACTAGGGTTTCAGACACATGCAGCCATGTCTAACTCGTAAGTGGGTACTAGGGGTTGGTTAGAGCTCAGGTCCTTATGCCTGCGCAGCAAATGCTCTCACTCACTGAGCCATCTCCCCAGTCAAGACTAAGTGTTTTGTTTTGTTTTATATTTAACATGATTTCCTTACTGACTCTTTAGGAATTTCACATCATGCACCCCAACTCCGCAATGTGGGGGCCGAAAGGACACAGGTGACAAAGAGCCCCGAGTCTGCCTCTCGGCAGAAGGGACAGACCTCTGTGCACCAGGTAACCATTCCAGCCTCGCTTCCCCTGGCTGTGAAGAGGGAAGAGGCCAGGCACCAGGTGGGGCTCAAGCGAGAAAGTGATAAAGCCTTGCACAAACTGAAGCCTGCTGCTGTGTGTGGAGCCTTCTGCCATTTGCTCGGAACCAGCTGGAATCCATGCCCAAGAGCACAGGGCCTCCGACATGTTGGAACGGGATACAGGGGGAAACATGGGTACCCTCGGGGCTGTCTCCCTCCCTGAGGACCCCAGGTGAGACAACGTAGCCTTCAGCAGGCCTGAAGAGCTGGGACAGGGCAGGTCTGAGCTGGGAGAAAAGAACTGTTTGCTCCCCTTGCCCCGACTCGCCGCTTCCACCTCCCTTGCACCGGGTCCCCAGGAAGTGGTGGCGGTCCAGCCTGGGCCGGGAAAGCGGTACACCGGAAGCAGAGGGTACGGAGCTGATGCAGAAAGGGCCCAAACCATCGCGTGGCTGTACTTCTCGTCTGTCCTTCCAGGTCACAAGCCCCTGAAGGCTCCCGCTTTGCTTTACACTATTCACATCCTTCCCATGTGGCAGGCCACACAGTGGGGCCTCTGCGGATATGTTCAGCCTCGTCTGATTTGATGGGCAACCTGGGCTGGATGATGACCTTGCTCTAGGCCTCAGTTTACCCAGAATGTCATAACAAGGGGCGCGTTCCTGCCCTACCTAGAGGAGACGCGGAAATGTCAGGAGGAAAGAACCCCTATTTTGGAGGCTGGCAGATCCGTGTTGAGCCTGGTACTACTGCCTGCTGGTGGCCATGAGAAGCATTCCTATCTTTCAGCCTTTATTCTTTAGCCAGGGCAGGTGGCAGCAGCATCTACTGGGTAAGATGTTGCAACAAACCAGGACAAAAAGATTACAAATAGGGCTGGGGAGATAGCTCAGTCAGTAGAGTGTTTATCTTGCAAATCCAGGACCTGAGTTCAATTCCCAGAACCCACATAAAATAGCCAGACTTGGTGGTGGTGCACACTGGTAATTCCAGCACTGGGGGGCGGGGCAGCAAGCCTGGACTACTCGGTGAACCCCAGGGAAGGGAAAAACTTAGACAAAACAAAAGGGGAGGGCATCTAGACTCTCCACATGCGTGCATACCCACACCCACATACACTTGTACACACTCATGAACACACACACACACACACACACACACACACACACACACACACCAATGAAAAAGAAGCACAAATAACCAGTGCATAGTTTATTGGTTTGCTAGCTTTCTGATCTCCGGCACGTCAGCCCCATGAGGCTGGGATTTGCTCTTCAGCACTGCGGCCTCCTACCACCCAGAGTGTCTCCCTGGCATTCATCAGGAGCTCCCTAAGTAACCGCCGGGAGGTGAGATGGACGTGCGGCAGCACTTGACAGAGATGGGCTTCTGTAGCGGTTCTCCTGTGTGCTCAGACAGAAAGCACTGGAAGTTCATGGTCATTGAGAGAGGACACTGGAGAATAAGACGTGATCTTCAGGGCTGGCACAGTCTGCGGTCATCTGCCTGTTAGACAGCCGAGGGTGCCGGAACAGCTGACTTTGTCTAGGCCAGGGGCCACGCTCTGCATGCCCACGGAAGCCAGATGGGAGCATATATGACTTGAGAAAGGGCAGGGGACGCTGGGCCAGTTGGGGATCCCCATGCATTCTGTCTGGTGTGGCTCCCAATGCAGCCAGGTCAGGGTATAAGTCCCATTTGCCAGTGCAACTGATTTTCAAAGAAAAAATTCAAAATCCAGTGGGAAACAATTCATCTTTAAAAGGCAAAAACACAAAAGAAGGCAAACAAAACTCACCCACGGGCTGGGTGCTACAGCCTGGTCATCTTGGGTGAGGTGGGCTGCAGGACTCCCAAGAGTGACCTCCATGGAGTCTTTGTCTCTCCAGGCTTCTCAGGAAGTCCCAGTTCTGAGACATGAGACTCTGCTTGCTGGAGAAACTAGCGTGTCATACAAGGGGAAGGCCAGGGTCCCACACAGCAAGGACCTCGCTTAGTTTCTAGGTTCGGAGTGAGAGCGATGACGTGGCTCTCAGGTTTAGAGTTGGTCCACTCCCCCCGTTCCTGGGACATGGTCAAGTCGATATCCCCTCACTCTTCTCTTCGTGTGACTTTGAGCACAGGCCTCTGTCTCTGGACCAAAACTGGAAAATGGGTACAGTAGTTTGGCCTCACCTAACCTAACCACACAGGGAAAATGGGGAAATCAAGGGAAAGCAGAGAAAAGTGTTTCTAAAAATGGAAAGTGCCCATCCTTTTTGTCCTTTAGGAGAAAAACCCTTCGGACAGAACAGAAATGCCCCTGGGGCCCAGAGGCAGAGAATCTTTCACAAGAAAGATTCTGCTCAGTCTCACGGGGTCATCTCAGGAGGGATATGTGCTCCAGAGCGCCAGGATAGACTTCCATGAGACACAGGAGCTGTGACCTCCCTCATCTACCTGGTATCCAGCTCCTTGACACCCCTGGCAGACCCAGCTGTGTTCCCCAGAGGCTTCTGGGTAAACACATGAACCCCATATAATGGTGCCCAAGAAACAGAAAAGCTATATAAATAACATAAATACTTTCCCATATATCTTAGCTATATAAATTATTTTCTAAGAACTATATGTATGAGGTAGGCAGAAATACCCTGTGAACATCTCCCTTAAAGTTCCAGTCTGAGGGGCCCCAGCAGGACTGCGGTGGGATTTTAGGGGGAATAGGAAGAGATGGGCCTTGGAGAAAGAAAAGAGGGAGAAGGCCAGACTGAGGGTGCCCTGGGGCACCAGGGTTAATGGCCAGCCACAGCCTAGGCTTCAAGTCCGACTTTGACCCTTCTGCACCCCCAGCCCTCCTGACCAGGTGGTATGGTTGTGGGTCAGAGGGTCCTAGTCCCCAAAGTGCTGCGGGATCCCTTCTTGCCTGTGTAGCCTCCGGGGAGAGCAGGAGTAGGGGTCACAGGAGAGAAGGATGCCTCAGGTTACCAAGGAACAAGTCAGCCTTCAGCAGGGAAGTAGAAAGCCAGCCTTCAGTCTGTTTCCCCTCCTGCCAAGCTGTGGGCAGGCTTCTTTAGTTAGTCAGCAAAGTCATTCCAGGGAAGGCTCTCAGGTCACTGTGGCTCCTCCTTGGAGCTTCTGCCATCAAAGATCCTTCCAGCATCCTCACGCTGGCCTGAGCCACCGAAGACAGGGTGGCCCCCTCTGGGCCGTACAGCCTCCTTCCTGGAGCTGGTGTGGGTGATGTCCGCTGAGCATCCACTGATTCCAAAGCTTCCTGTTCCCGTAGAGGGATAGTAACCCCGACAGGGTTCAGAACAGAAGGAAGCTTATAGGAGGACTCAGCACAGCCAGCCAAGTGGCCACAGGCTTCCCAAAAGAGGTCACTTCCTCCTGGCTGGCCTTGGGCCCTGCTCTGGGGAAGCATACAGCCTCTAGCAAAGTGACCCCAGTGAGGTCTTTGTCCTGGGCTGGAGAGATGTGCGAGGCTTCACGGGGAGCCTGTGCCTGGCCAGGCTGTGTGTGTGCGCATCTGTATAAGCCTGTACCTGTGCACTGGTTTCTCTCTTTCACAGGGGGCCTCGGCGGGGGACGTTAAAAATGGCCACTTGATCCATCAGCAGTCATTCTATTCCTCTGGTAGGAGCCCAAGTGAAGGGGTCACTAGTAAAGGAACGGGACCACTGAGGAGACAGGCTTAGCAAAGACTTAGCCAGGGCAAAAGCCTGCATAAGCATCCAGAGAGCCGGGAAGTAAGCAGACATGTGGCTCATGAGTCAACCGTTCTGTGTTACTAACATGTATGGGGGCCTCCCAGCCCAGGGAGACCCTGGTCACAGAAAATTGGCAGAACACACTCCAGAGTGATATTTCAATACCATATCTCTTCCAGGCATCAGGACACTGCCTCTCCTCCTCTGGGCTGTAATTAAAGGTTCTTTGGCCACCAAGGAAAAGAGAAAGGGCCACTGTCTCCCCCACTCAACCCTATTTGCATTATCGGAGTCCCACCGAGAAGACCAGCTCCTGCACCCTTCTTATGTGCATTAGGGGTCTCACTGAGCAGAGCTGAGTGGCTTGGGGCGGGGAGAGGGACTGGGCTCTCAAGACAAGGAGACAAAGAGGCAGCCTTGAGTGCCAGGACACAAGACTTCAGGGCATGGGCTCTGTGACCTGATCCACCCACGCCTAAAAAGTTCTCCTTGCTCCCAATAAACATTCTGAACAGTCTACAGTGTGCAAAGTGCCCCCCACCAAAAGCAGGACAGGCATGTGGTACCCAGAGCTCTCTGCCATCAGAGTGGAGCCACACAAATTGGCCATGCTCAGTTGGATGCTACACACACACAAGCACGCACGCACGCACGCACTCTAGCTGGTTCTGCCTTCCTCTTCCATATCCTCCCAGCTTTTGTTGGCCTTGAGACAGGAAGGTGTTTCTTTCTCTCTTCCGGCACAGTATCGCTCCTGCCCTACCCTGATCCTCATGTATTTCCCTCTCTTCTCCTCAGTCTGTTTGCTGCCCCACGTCCTCAACCAGATTGGTGATCCTGGGACTCAGAGGCAGGGCTTTGTTTCTCTCTGCTGGATGGGGAGGAAGGCAGAAGGCGGGCCAACGATCCGCTGGGGAAGAGAACTGAGTGGCACACCCTCGTGCGTGGCGTGGCCTGTAGATCGGCAGGGAAGTGATTGCCGGAGTCGTGGGCGGTGGGAGCCCCGGCAGTGCCACCGTCTCAGCTGGCGGAGGCCTAGCGCTTGCAGGTGTACACAAGTTCCTGCTGCGCGCACTGCTGGCACTCCACATAGCAGCACCACTGCACCTGGCAGTGGCAGGAGAAAGCCACCATGCGGCTCTGGGTGTCGTAGCCTCGCCCGCAGCAGAGGCTGCTGCAGCTGGCGTCCCGAGAACACACCCTGCCCGCCGTGCCTGGGGAGTACTTGCTGGGCCGGCAGAAGCTGGGAGAGTCTTCCATGTAGACCAGGTCACCGGGGCGAGGTGCCAGGCCCTTGGCGGGCCCACCTGGCTTAGCAGGCGCCCATAGCTCCAGACGGCCCAAAGCCTCATTGGTGGCACTGGATACCTTGACGGCGGTGTCGTAGCGTAGCTTCAGCACCTGGCCGGTCTCACGAAACGGGGACAGCTGTTTCCAACAGGTACGCACGGCACAGGAGCCTGACACGCCGTGGCACTTGCAGGTTGTTCTCAGACCACTCTTCACAGCCTGCAGAGAAGGGCAGAGCGGAGGTCTGTCAGTGGTCTGAGTCTGTCCCACATGCCAGTTCTGCCAAGGAGTGTCAACAGAAGGAGGGGACAGGAAGGCTCATGAGAAGGTGACAAACAATGACCTGAGACCCTCAAGGTACCTTCGTGCATACTAAGAAGAAGCTGTCCTTCCTCCAGGCAGTGCGCTCCTGGGCGAAGGCAGCATGGGTCAGATCTCAGCCCAGAGCTCTTGTGCAGCGTACAGCCTGCACCCACTGCACACGGCAGCCCGGTTTCCTGATAGAACTGAAGCTCTGGTCCCTGCCTGCCTCCTCACCCCAGTAGACCTAGAGGCTTATTACTCTCAGTTCTGTCACGGCCGTGTGACCTCAGCTAAGTCCCTTCCCTCTCCGGGCCTCCTCTCTCTTCTCCTTACAAAATGGAGGAGGCCCAGTGGTTGTCATATTGAAGTCATCAAATGATGCTGGCGCTTTGCAGTTGGAATGGAGACGTCTTTCCAAACACCCCTTTCCTGCTTTATGGAGGCATGGAGCCAAGCCTGGCTCCACTGTACTGATGCCTGGGAGTCTGTGCCCCTGTGCCCAGTAATGTGCAGAGAAGGTTCACTGAAGGGGACCCGAAGTTCATCCCGGGACATCCGCGTGTTGAGGGCAGGACGCCGGCCTGCCGTGGATGCACCCTGCCTGGCATGGCACTTTGGGCAGTAGGGAGGGTATTCACTCACCTTGATGCCCACGTGGGTGTTGTGGGCGTCGGCTCGGGCTCGCAGGTCCTTGCTTCCTCTCTTGGGCCCCAGGAAGTTGCTTAGGAACTTGGTGCTGTACTTCAGGTTGTCACCACACACACCCCACTGCCAGGCCTGCCGGCTCTCCAGGCCTGGCGAGTCATCGCAGGTGCAGCGCTCCATGCGCCCAGCACTGCAGGCCCGGGCCAGCGCATGTGTGAGGGCAGCGGCAGACACCGCATACAGGAAGGCTGTCTCCTTGAAGCCTGTGCGGGAGGAGAGGGAGTTCCTGCAGCCCTTTGAAGGTAGGAGGCATGTGGGGTGGACCGTGGGTAGGGTGGGGGGAGAGTGGGCCTAAGGTCACGGCTGTGTAAGGCCTTCCCATTGCCTGTCCCTCCGACTCGGCCTCCAGATTCACCCCGAAGCATGTGCCCAGTTCTCAGAGGGCAGCAGGACAGAACTGCTAATCTCAGTAACTTATGCAAAAAGTGGCCTGGGCACATGGACAGGTCTGAGCTAAAGCTAAACAGTCATCCTGACTTCAAGTGCTTATGCGACAAGTTGGACAACCTGTTTCTATGGAGTTCTAAGCTGTCTCATGTTTCTCAAATGTCCTCTGCCACCGTCTGTAAGTGACCCAAAGACAGAATGGTCTTGGGGGTCCTGCCTGACATCAACCCCACACTGGGACAACCGCTGTGCTCACACTACTGGAAGGTGCCCCAACCAGGCCTCCCCGAGTCCTCTGCTCGCAGTGTATCTGGGGCACTGGTGACAGCTGAAAAGAAAGAAAAGCAGGCCACTAGCTCTGTCTCCGACCCTCCCTGCGACAGAGAGCAGCTGGCCTAGAGGGGGGCTGGCCACTTCTATAAAAATTCCCCACTGGAGATCCAAGCTAGGTGAGTGGCTCACACCTACACTTCCAGAACTTGGGAGATTGAGACAGGACGACTGCTGAGCATTTGAAACAGTTCACATAGGGAGTTCCAGGCCAGCCTGGGCTACAGAGACCTAGTCTCCCCAAAGGAATAACAACAACCGTAAAAGTGCCTATGTCCCTTCCACAAGGCAATGAAGTCATGCTATGGCCCATTTTCTCTTTCTAGAAGGTGCACTTTCCAAGGGCAGCTGGGTCACATTCAGCCTGTGCCTCTGGCCCCTTGCATAGCGCCTAGCTCACTGTGAGCCTCCGTGGATGCTCAACAGATGGATGGGACAGGAGAAGGATGAGGAAGGAGGAGGAGTCAGGTGGGAAGGGAGGAAGAGAATGACGCATCAACAGATGTGATGAACGGTGACAGATGAACGCGTGGACAAAGGAATCCGCCTGACTTGCACATTTGGACCACTTAGTAGGTGGTTGGGGCCACCCACCTCCTCTGTGAATCTCTTCCAGGAATGCTTTGTCCTTTCCTCTCTTGTGTTATCTTTGGTCCTCTGTCTCCCCAAATCACGGGCCTTCAACAGACCTTACTAACACCCCAGGTCTCTTCTCACTTGGGACCGTGCCCAGGTAGTCAGCACAGTGAGGCCTGGGCATAACCTCTTCACCACCCACAACCTCCCTCCAGCCCTCTCCCTCCCTCCCTCCCTCCTTGCTGGCTTTCCTTGTCCTCCTCCTCCTCCCTCAGCGTCCTCCCCGACATCCTCCCCACCTCTCTGGAGCAGGCCGGTCCTCCCCTCCAGGCTGCAATTCCAGCGTTCCTGCCTGAACTGGAACTGGCATTCCAGCAGCCCCAGGTGTGCCGCGTCCCTCAGGGTCTCAGCCAGGCCAGGCTCCCTCCTGCAGAGCTGCTTCTGCCTCCGGGACAGCTTCAGCAGGTCACACTGCTTCAGGTGGGCACCAGCCTGGGCCGGGGCTGCGGCTGTGCCCAGGCCCGGGAAGGGTGTCAGGACATCACGCCCTGTCAGGCTGGAGAGGGTGAGAAGGGAGCCGGTAAGCTTGGGGTCCTGCCTGCCTGTGGAGGGCCAAAGCTCATCCCACAGGGATGGCAAGAGGTTGTCTTCGCATGTTTACCTCCATGGACGGCAGTCCAGTCTCATAGGGCTTATGCCCCCATCTTACAGAGAAGAAGATCAAGGTACTTACGTAGCAAGGATTGGTGTAGGACCCCAAACCCAAGTTCTCCGGATTCTAGTCTGTTCTTATCTATCCTAGTTTGCCAACTTGCCCAACTGGGAAAGTCATCCTGAGTGCTCAGAAATACAGAGCCAGGCTGAGGGTGGTGGCACATGCCTACAATCTTTGCACTTGGTGGGGTCTAAGGCAAGAGAATGCTGTGAGTGCAGGGCCATCCTGGGCTACACAGCAAGATCTGTTTCAGATAAACGCACATTTCCAAGGCCTGCACGAGTTTCTATAGCTCCGGAGCAGGGCCTGGCAATCTGTGCTTTTGCCATGTCCCCTGAGAGGTTGTGGTGCTCAGGCAAGTGTGGGAGATGTTATATGTAGCATCGGTCACTTCCTGGAGGGGAGTGCCACCTTGCTACCAGGGTTAAGCACAGGAGGTGCAGACTAAACAGCCAGCCAAGGTCCCTGGCTCCCTCTCTCCCTTGTGTTCTGTTGCTGCCCGAGTAAGCCCATGCCAGTCTAGCTTGTTTCCCGGATCCCAGGTAGATCATCAACCATCTGGCTATTGGGTGCCTGGTACAAATAGAAGCTTGGGAAAAAGGAAGAAGGAGGAGGAGGAACAGAGGGATGGAAAGAGACAGGGGAGGGAGGGAGGGAGGGAGGGAGGGAGGGAGGGAGGGAGGGAGGGAGGGAGGGAGGGAGGGAGGGAGGGAGGGAGGGAGGGAGGGAGGGAGGGAGGGAGGGAGGGAGGGAGGGAGGGAGGGAGGGAGGGAGGGAGGGAGGGAGGGAGGGAGGGAGGGAGGGAGGGAGAGAGGGAGTCTCAAATCCCAGACTTCATGATCTGTATCCAAAGCCATCGATCCTATAATAAGGCTGCCAAATTCTAACCATAACCCTGCCAAGTCCTAACCACAACCTTGAAGCCTTGGCTCCCTCCTTGGCATCACGAACACTAACACCCTCGCCTCCCAGAGGTGCTGTGGGGATTGCAGAGAAAGCACAGGCTGGCCAGGCAGTCTTGCCTTCCTGCTGGCTGGCATTTCCTTCTCTCCTCTTGCAAGATGCCTTATAGTCTAAGTCGCCAGTGTCTCCCTCTGCCCTGCCAGGTGTCGGCGGCTTTGTGTGGAGGTGACAAGTGGTTCAGATGGCAGGCATGGCAGGTTAGTGGCAATGTGGTCCATAATGAGATCCGTTCCTTCTCCCTGAACCTCCCTGTGACAGTGACAAATGTTTATTGTCCCCCACCCTGGTGTACCCCGTGTGGATGGAAGAGACATCCTTGTCAGACCCGAGCTAGAGAAAGCAGCTCCCTTCCTGAAGCGGCAGGTTCTCAGCCAGGGTAAAAGAGCCAAGGTGGGACCAGCTGGGGGCTGTCAACATACCCACCTGGATGTGGCACTTGCCACCTTTGCTCATGCGCTGCTAAGTCCTGGGGCCAAACCCTGAGGGGTCAGAGAGGCCCTTATCCCACAGAGTCGAGGGCACAGCTCTACAGTTTGAGTCACCTGCCTCAGTCAGGACATTTGGCCAGATGCCATCGCCTCTCTGTCTGCCTGAGAAATAGGAAGCCTCGTTGGAAGGTGGGGGTCCTGGCGAGGTCCCAGGTGCCCCTGTAGATTCCAAGTCTATCAGGTGTGCCCAACCCGGCGTGGAGCATATCTCCGAAACATTGAGCACAGACTGATGCTATCGGCGCCCTCGAGCCCGGCCTGGACCCGGCTCCCCTCCCAGACACGGTGAGGGCAGGGGCCCGTTAAACATTAATCAGGGGGCAAATGGGAAAGTTTCCAGTCCACCAGGCCTATGCCCAGACCCCTCCCTGCAGCCTGGCAGGAAACCCTTGGAGCTTGACCCTGGGCAGGCAAGGAGCAGAGCCTGAGGTCAGGTCCTGCTGGCGAGGCCCCACCTTAAATGGTTTCCAGTGTTGGAGGGCAGCTCCAGGGCTACTGGGAACACAGCTCCTGTAGCCTCCGAAAGTTTCTCTTCTTCACACCCAGGGCTGGTGTGGGGATAACTGACTCACACAATTCCTGTTTCAGAAACTAGGACTTCCCCTGTAGATAGATGCAGACTGACACACTCAAGAAAAGCCTGCTAAGGATGGGCATTTTGGCCAATGGGGCGAGACACATCCTTTAAAACCTGATTCATATTCATTAAAAAAAATCATAATTCTAGAGGGCTGGGGAAGTGGTTCAGTAAGTAAAAGTGTTTGCCAGGGAAGCATGAGGACCTGAGTTCAAGTCTCTTGAACCCATGTGGAGGCAGGCATGGTGGCACGTCTGTCACCCCAGTGTTCCTTACAGTGAGATGGGAGGTGGAGGCAGGAGACTTACAGCCAGTTAGCATGGCACACACAGCAGCGAATAACAGAGACCCTGGCTCAAACACAGTGGGGACGAAGACCACAGCCCAAGGTTGTCTTCTGACCTCCATGTACACACTGTAGTACACATCTGCCCACACTCACACACACAGAAAACCTTTTTTTTTTTCAAGACAGGTTTTCTGTGTATAGCTCCGGCTGTCCTAGAACTAACTCATTCTCACTCTGCAGACCAGGCTGACCTTGAACTCAGAGATCCACTCACCTCTGTCTCCCAAGTGCTGGGATTAAAGGCATGTGCCACCACCACCGTGAGCAAAAACATTTTTAATCTGGGCATGGTCCACATTAGTCATCCTAAACTACAGACTAAGTTGCAAGACTGGTATGTAGCTCAGCTTAGTGGTAGAGTGCTTATGCTGCATGAGTTAGGTTTGACTCTCAATATTAAAAAAAACTAATTAAAGAAATAGATATTATTTTACCGTTACGATTATATTATATTACATGCTATAATATATAATGCATTAAAATATTGCATTCATTATATACACATGTCAGTTTTTGAGTACCTATTACTGAGGACTTCAAAATACTATGGACATGTGATTGGGTTTTTGGCCCCTCGTTCTTTCTATCATGGTTGCCATATGGTCCCCGTCCATAACTGTATTTCACATGACCAGGCTGGCCTGGAACTCAGCTGCTCTGGTCTGCCGATCGGATCAGTGATGAATTGATGACCCTATCTAAACCAGCCAGTCTTTTCCCTGGGAATTTAGAATTTGGATAATGAGAGCACACTCTTGATTTCTCTTCCTTTCTCTCCTTGCATGGCTGGACCTGAGACCCAGAAAAGAAACAGAGGAAGCTGAGCCAAGGAGGGAGAAGTAGGAACCAAACGTATTGGGACCAGCAGAGGAGAGAGTGCAAGGCAGGATGCAGGGAATACTTCTGGCCTAGGTCCCAGAGTCTTCACGGCTCGCCCTGCTCTTGCCGGACACACTTACACTGTGGAGTCTTGGCTGGGAGTTGCCCAGTCTCCCTGAGGTCGCTGGCCTTTGTTAGCACATGTTAGGCCTGGCTGTAGAGTAACCGAATTCTCCAGGCTGCGGCTGTGGCTCGGCAAACGCTCTCCCACTCATCAACAGGCACCTGCCTCTCTAATTTCATGTAATGGGCCCTGAGATTGATGGCTCCAGAAGTCCAGTATAAAGTCCGTTAATTTTATTAGTGGTAATGACACTTAGTAGTGATTAATGGTCAGGAAAGGCAGCCAAGCACACAGAGGCCTCGGGCCTCACTGGGCCCCAGTCTACTCAGAGCTGCTTTCAGAAAAGGTTCCCCAGCATTTTCATGGGGTTCTCACAAGCCCTAGGAGAGCTCCTAGGACTCGGTGTCGCTTTTGTAAATCTTTTTTTTTTTTTTTTTGGTTTTTCGAGACAGGGTTTCTCTGTGTAGCTTTGCGCCTTTCCTGGAACTCACTCTGTAGCCCAGGCTGGCCTTGAACTCACAGAGATCCGCCTGACTCTGCCTCCTGAGTGTTGGGATTAAAGGCATGCGCCACCACCACCTGACGAAAGACTGTTTCTTTTCTTTTCTTTTTCTTTTCTTTTTTTTTTTTAAAGACAAGGTTTCTCCGTGTAGTTTTGGTACCTGTCCTGGATCTCGCTCTGTAGGCCAGGCTGGGCTCGAACTCACAGAGATCTGCCTGGCTCTGCCTCCAAGGGCTGGGATTAAAGGCGGGCGCCACCACCGCCTGGCTCGGTGTCCCTTTTATATGCTTCCCATGTTGCAGTTTGGAAAACAGTGTCTTTGAAGAACTAGCACCACCACAGCAAATGGGGAACAGCCTGGCTATTTCCTTACCAGGGCTAGTAAGGTCTCCTCTGCTCACCTGTCCCATCGCACCTGATGTGTGTTGTGTGATATTTTGATAGCATTCTCATAATCAAATTTGCTTTGAGTCAGAGGGCGGAGCTAGCCACTAGCTGACCAAAATTAATCATAGAGATTTTGGAGGACTGAGGGCAGATAAGAGACAGGAAGTGGTAAGGCATGGCTGAGAGAGGTTCTCAGCCTTTTGGATGGAAGAACAGAAGAGAGAGGAGGTCATTGGTGGCTTCTCCATTGCTTCTCTGATCATTCAGGTTCTTACCTCAATATGTGACTCGCTGTTTTTTTTTTCATTGATAAAGAATAGATAAACACATCAGATGTGGAAAGTTTTCCCAAGTCATAAGAATCCTGAGCATTGCAGATTACAGCCTTTTCAGTGGCCAGCTGGTATGGTATCTGGCACCCTGGGTTCAAGGACCCCACCTTCCAATAAACCACATGTTAACTGAGACACTTGGGAGTGAAACAGAGAACCGAAGAAACAGAGACTAAAGGGGTTTGTAAGGACGACACTGCTCTGTGACAACCAGAAACTCACAGGCAGGTCACAATGTTACCCGTGACCAGGATCGAGATGGCAGAGGAGGTGGAGCTTATGAGTTTGCTAAGTGGCCTT